AAGCCTTTGTAAATAATTGTAGCATTTTTGGCTTAGAATGAGGGAAAACAAGCCTTTTAAAGGAAATACAGATTCTAACCGTCAAATATTTTGTGTCGAATGAAGATGTTCCCACCGTTAGATGAAGCTCAAAGTTTGCCACGAGATAGACAAGGATCGCAGCTTCACATATCATATGCGATCGTGGAAATCCAACTGTGTGATCTGAATATACGCTCAATATACAGAAAATAGATAGATTTCCAAATCTTCGAAGAATATCACTAAATCTCTTGGGATATACCTAGCTGACTTTCCTTACCTATTTAAACAGAAGGAGGCCACGAAAATCAGCACCATCTTCACAGCCACCACCATAGTTACACATTTCCTTTTGAGGGAGAGCCTTTGGCTCAAACTCTTTATTTTTAGAGTTTTTATCGAGTTTTTACGTATTAATTCAAGGAAGAAAACCTCCAATCTTTGTCCAGTAGAGAGAAGCTTTCTAAACCCTTTTTATTAATGCTATATTTTCATTCTACTCTTGTTATTATCTTCACTTCTATATTGAGTAGTTTGATTGTTGGGTTTAAGGGGTTTTTAAGGAGGCTTATTCATGGATCGATAAATAGGAATTTTCATGCTTAGGAATTTCGTGAAGTCTTCATCTATGCTTTTTTATCTTCTGTATATTGCTAGTTTAACTAACTTGTGATTAAATCTAGATCGATCTTTACGAGTTTGAACCTTATCATTGCAAGAGTCGTGTTAGGGATTCATGATTGATTGATTGGAACTAGTATAGATGAGCTTGAACCTTATCATTGCGAGAGTCATGTTAGGGAGTCAGGTTAGCATTTCGAATAATTCCTTTTATGCATATCTATCTATCTAATTGCTTTGTGAGAGTCGAGTTATTAGGCTGATTGATATATTAGTCTTCATTGCGAGAGTTGGTTGATTATATTATCAAGTGAATTTGAGTTAGGAATCCCACTTTGCTAGATTTACTTTCATGATCACCTGAATAAATTGCTCCATGAACCATGAGATTTTCCTGCTGCCTAACGTTTTTTCCCATTGAATTTCTATCGACATTTTATTTTCCTGCATCATCACAATCGAAACCCCCATTTTTTTGTCTTAGCTTAATTTTTTTCCCAAAAATTTATAGTGCCCTACGAGTATCTAGTGGATTTGATCCTTAAGTACTACTTTGATTGTCGTGCACTTACGGCTGGTCTTTGTATTGTTGAGGTAAAACTAGACACACGTCAATAAGCTTTCAATAGTATCCAAAAAACGCCGTGGAAGCCAGAAAGCTACACATGAGAAGTTTGTAATACTAGAGACTACATATTTAATGAGCTGTAGTCTACTAG